GTAGCGTGGAGACGCGGAGGGAGAACACCGTTGTGTCCTCGGTTGGGTGTGTCCCACACCTGAGAATGGGAATGGGAGTGCTGCGCTGATTCCAGGCTGACGGTTGAGCTCGATCGTCGTCCAGCTGGTCATTGAACGTTGCTTACATGAGATAATTGTTGTGACAATACTCCGGAATGTCTATGTAGGCTTTAATTGTTATGAAAGAGTCAGCTTGAAGTGTTCGAACAAACATCATGCATTCGCTTCTTGATCAACAAATCCTGCCCTTTTAATGGCAATGACTCAACTCGACTCACGCCATCACGAGAACACCAAGCAGCCATCTCACAATCTCACAGTAGAACACCATCTCACCGCTCCCGGCCAGTCTGTGACCTACCAGCTCGGCGCGGTCGTGGACCGTGTGACCGTTATACGATCACCGATCGGGTTACGTGATAGCGTGAAAACTCGCCCGTCCGTGATCGTGCACGGCCGCCACGTCAGGAGGTCGTGCGGCCCGGCGTACTCGGCTCAAAGGAAAGTTGCCGTAGTGAAACCACCAGTGCGGATCAGTACCTATATCGAACGGCCATTGACGAGCGCTATGTTGATGTTCGCCCGCCCGCGCGGATATCGCTGAAGCAGATTAACTGCTGGGGCAAGTTATCAAAGCGCATTTATATGTGGTGTGTTTCATAGCAATATGCCAAGCTGGATGTTTTTATTAAGACAAAACATTGACTGGTACCTATTTGGACACAATGCAATAATCGGTATCACTGTACCTATTTTATAAATTTGCGCACAACTATGAACTAACCTACTAAAATTCAATCGGTGTGTGTGTTATATCATGAACCAAACAGAAGAAAGGTCTACGTTAAAGGGACCCTCCCACCTTAACATTAGTTTTGAGTTGAGATAGCCAAGTTTGCGGCCAGGCTCAGAAACCACCATTTATCCTGGTCGCAACCCCCGCAGCTTTATGGTGTTAAAGAAATTTCTTCCCTTTACTTGCAGGGTGGGACCAGCGTGGTCCCTATCTCTTAAAGGGACTATCCCACCTTTAACATGGGGTTTGAGTTGAGATAGCCAAGTTTGCGGCGAGGTTCAGAAACCACTATCTATCTAGGTTGCAACCCCCGCGGCCTCTTGGTGTTGAAGAAATTCGTTCCCTTCATTTGAAAATGGGCCTTGTACAAGGCCCTATCTTCAACATGGAGCGACCGTTAGTGTGACGTCACCTCGTTTAGTCATTCTGATTTAAATGGGTTTGTTCGTTGAAAAATCGCTTAAAACTTGGTCTGAACTTTGTTGTGGTGCCTACAGAGTAAAAAGAATCAGCTTTATGACAGTAATGTGGCCTGGGGAAGGAGGTAATTTTGGGCTGTGACGTCACATATTTGAAAGTTTGTGTTTGGAATATGGGAAGCCTAAGATGTTTAATGAAAAATAAATGCCAGAACCGTGTTCCTGGTCATCCAATCTATAAAGTAGGGCACAGTTTAACTGGTTTTAACAACATTTTAGAAGGTGGGATAGTCCCTTTAACCATTACGGGAATCTGATGGCGTCATCAGGCTTTCGAACGTCCGTTAAATGTTTCACTAAAACGTTTTGCAGCACGCGGTGGTATATGCTGCTTTGCGCGCAACAAATGCCGCACTTTCAAATAAAGTCGCTAGGAACAGCGGAGATCCCAAAAAGTAAACAAAAGTAAAAGTCTAATATCTTGAAAACCGGTGAATATTTTTTTGATTTTTTTTTCTAAGCCGCCACCCATGATCAGGTGACCAGGAGTGCCCCCTCTCTCTATCCCAGCGACACACAGAACCTTACGTTAACACCAGAATAACTTAAAATTTCAAGTCGCGGCACTCCCAGCTAGGAAATGAAAGAAACATAAAAAAGCAGTAAAGAGAGAGTCCATGGTTAATATGAATGAATAAGAAGCAAAGTAGTCGACACTGTAAACAGTGGTGACTGCCCTCTACTGAAAGCCCATCCTCATTCACTCGCTCACATTCGTAACATTCATACACAGCATCCAATACGAGAAAAAGGCATAATCGCTGGGGAAGGTTGGTTAGGGGGTTCTCTCATCAAAGGCAAGATCATCATCATAATACTCTGGTCTAGGCATGCATGAGGGTCCGTTAGCCCAGACACTCGAAGCACCCCACGAAGCAAGGCTTGTTGTCGGGCGCTCCAAGTGCCCGGGCAGGCAGGGTGACATTTAGCAAAACACTAAAAATGAGTAAAATACACATACTGCATATTACACATATACCGGACGGATACATACACCTATGTATGCCTACACAAGCATGCATACACATTACACATACAACTGTCACATACAGGCATATCAGCGTTTGGTAGGTACCTATGGTTGAAGTACCTATCTTTGAATTATAAGATGTATCAAGCTAAATTAATCAGTATTGATTGATATAATGATTTTTAACTAGCTTTTTTATTGTGCTTTTGGCAAATGGCACAGACTGAACGTGAGGAAAGATCGAGGTCATGACACTGTTCCACACTCTAGGACCTGTCCATGACAAAGTATGAGTTTTATATTTTTTGAAAGTGAATATTTCTTCGAAGTGTTTTACATTACGAATGTTTCTGAGTGAAGGATGAAATCTAAACAATTGGTCGAATCCATGTGGTAGATTGTTGCATATTTTTCTATGCAGGATAAGTATCATTTGCTGATGTGCCACATCCTTAATTTTAAGGAGTTTTAGTTTTTTGAAAATTGGATCCGTATGAGCCATCATTGGCTGCCCATCTATAATTCTGACAACTCTCTTTTGAATTTTTTCAATTTTGGATAGAGTTGAAGTATAAGTATTGCTATATATATAGCAACAATAATTGACATATGACAAAAATAGAGAATTGTAGAGTAATAATAAGTGTTCAGTGTTTAAAAAGTACCTCACTTTGGTAATGATACCAACATTTCTACACAATGTAGTGTATAGCTTATTTATATGAGTATTCCACTTAAAATCGCCATCAATAAACATTCCAAGGTATTTTACACTTTTATATCTCCAGTCAGGGGGGTGTCACTACTTTGCTTCGCCATAGGTCCAGTACTGATGTCATTGGTTTCGGACCCGGGTCTCCAGTACAATGTGCGCTAACCAGTTTTCTAAGTAATTCAGCTAGCAATTCTCGTGCTATGTTCAAAAAGATGTTTACAGTGAGGGTCGAACTTAGAAAAAACGAACTATAGAGCTTTTTATCTCTACTCCATTTAGTTTCAACCTTATTTCTTGTCTATCTCTTTTGTTTGAATATATCTGATAAGAAGTTTTATCAGTATTTATCGAGAGTTGGTTAGCAGAAAACCATTCTGATATTTTGGGCATAATTGTGTCCACAGTATCTTGTAATTTTGCTATATCTTTACATTCCATAAAGGCTGCGGTATCATCTGCATACAAATATGCATTGAACTCCTTGCTTATGTTTGGAAAATCATTTATATAAAGGATAAACAGAAGAGGCCCCAGAATAGATCCCTGAGGGACTCCCATATCAATTGGCAATGTGTTTGATCTGACACCGTTAATCTGTACACATTGGGATCGATCACTCAAGTATGATACTATCATATCATATGCTTTACTTTTGATTCCATAACATTTGATTTTGTTTAATAAAACATTAATATTAACTGTGTCAAATGCTTTCCGAATATCCAAATTAGTGGTGCCAATTTCATGAAATTTCAATTCCAATTCCGATCCAATTCCAAGAAATTGCCAAGTAAATTTCCAATTTTGTCCAAAGCGGGGGCTATTCCAATTTTTAACAATTTTTTGCATTTTTTGCGTAAATTTTAAAAGTGTTTAAAAGCGTTTTAAAGGCCTCCGTTTTAAAATTTTAAATTTTAAAGGCCTTGTGTTCCGATTAATTTCCAAAAAATGTTAAGAATTCCGTCCAAATTCCAAATTGGAATTGGACAAAAATTGGAATTCCAAGAAAAGAAATTCCGATTGGCACCAATAATCCAAATAGAGTCCGCACACAATATTATTTGCTTCAAATGCATTTGTAATCCTTTCCTGGATGAGTGATATGGGCATGTGTGTGCCCATACCTTTTCATTTCATTTTTCGATGAAATTTGGTAGATATTCGTTTTTGCTCTTTCTGAACCGAGCGACATCACTTTCATGCCAATTCATTAACTTTTTTGAAGGTGGGAGGGTCCCTTTAAGATCCGCTGAAGCCCGCCAATAATGGCGCGCTTCGATGAGTCTCGCCACGACACCAACATCAACTCATGGCCACTGCTTCTCTTCTCGGCTCTTTGCAGGTCGTTCCTCGCCCGTTTCTCGCGGAGTCTCCTCAGCTCGCTCGGTCAGGTCATCCTCTGTTCAGCCCAGTCGGTCTCGGCCGGGTCGGTCAATTCATCGCGGGGTCAGTTGCCGCCCTGCCCGCCGTGTATATCCCGCGCCCACCTGCGCGTCTGTCGGCCGTTATTTACCGAGCACCGGCTGCCTGCCTGCACCACAGTGCGAGGTGCGTCGCCGTGCATCGGTTCAAGGCCGTGCGGGGCCATGGCGTCGGCCGCGCCCCGGGGCCAGCGTGGCGCGGTGGCCTGGCATCGGGCGGAACCGGCCGGCCCGCACAAACACACTCACTGCGCGCCCGCAACGGCTCGACTCGCGCGGCCGCGGCTGGGGAGGACGGGCACTCGATGAGTCACGGCGTTATTGCAGGGTCCCATTGGATTTATTGAATTTCTGCTCGATCTTCTGCATGAATGGATATTGCTTGAGTCTGTTTGACTGGCACCTGCTTGATTTATGTCCACGGGTATAGCAAGTGCCTTTATATAATCGTACAATAATGTGTTCATCCTGCAACTGCTAACGCTTTCTGGAACCGTTTCTAGTCCATTATTAACCGCACCAACGTCCTGTTTTATCTACATACATCGACCTGACCGATCACACCTGGCCAACCTTCTTGCTGTAGCCTCTGTCCGCTATGACGCTACAGTACCGCCAGTGTCTCCGCGGCGGCGTGGCGGCGGTGCAGGACAGGACCGACCTTATCTCGCCGTATAGTGCGCGTGCCGTGCCTTGCCGTGCCGAACCGCCGTGCTGCCGGCGTGCACCGGAGATGGTCGGCATGGGAATGGCATGTCCTGTTCAGTGGTCGGTCGGTCCCCGGATCTGCGGGACGGCATTGAACGAGCGGAGATTGAGACGGATGCTCTCCGGTATATTGAAAATACCTGTTTGGTCGATACTTTTAGTTTTTCTTTTTGTTCTTGTACTGCAAACATTTTTTTTCATTATATTTTCGCACGAAACATGAATGGATCTTAACATTTCATTTGAGTGTTAGTCATAATTAATATGTAATCGATATTGAGGATGATGGGCCAGAATTCGCTAAAAACTGAGTTGCCGCCACGCTGATTGCTTGGACATTTCCTTGTCTGATTGTCCCACAGCTATACGAGTACCTATATTCTAATCGGAAACTAAACTCGCACCGTTGCAACTACATTCCAAGTCTCGCCACGACAGGAGGAGGGGCACAGTTGAAGTCAGAAGGCGCACGCGCCGCATATACCTCGGCCAATCTGTGTTGCATCAGCTCTCGTGGCCTGCACGAGAAGTGTCTGTGTGCGCTCCGCGAGCTGACCCAGATACTGCTCTGCACTGTTTGCTCGATCGCCACTCCTATAACGCCGCTCTTACCGCCGCGCCGCCCAGGCGCTGGGAGTTCATACATACAGCGCGGGGCCGCGGCGCTCTCCCAGGCCCCGCGCGCACCTCACCACGCCGGCCGGCGCAGGTTGCCAGGCTGCATGACCGCCGCCCGGGGCGGTGTGTACTGTGTAGTGTGGCGGCGGCCTCCCGGTGGCGGCAGGCCGCGAAATGAGCCGCTTCCTGGCCACTGTGCGTGCTCGCCCTGCACGGAGCTGGGGTGTGACTCGGAGGGCCCGTCAAGGTTGCGGGTTTCGACGGCACTGCATTGGGAGCCTGAAGGTGGCTTTAGGTATCATCGGCGGTTTCGTTTGGTGGTCTGTGAGGAATGTTGAACACAGTTCATACTCATGATTTTCAGAGTTCATAACTTGAATGTGGATTCTGCCATCCTACGCAGCCTTCCTGTAGAATTGACAGGCGGCTTGCTTGTTATGTTATGATCATGATGTAATGCCCGACGCTGAGATCTATCTGAACCTCTCTCCTTTTTCACATCACAGTATTTCCGCACAGATGGTTGGCGTCTATCCTAATTTTCATATTGAAAGTTCCACAAGAGACCCAGACGATCGTTTGGGCGTGTTTACGAGAGTGAGGTTCGGGTCTATGGGAAATTTCACAAAAACAATGCATGCAAATTATCATCTGTGTCCCGTGATACGTCGGTAGCAGTGTTGCGGCCGTCTTAATTGCTGTTTTACATTCATTTCTCCCGCCATGAACTGATAAGTTTCCTCTGCCGTGTGAACTGGAATAAGAATCGACGCCCCTATATCTAGTTATGCCGCTGCATTGATTGAACACGGCTAGTTCACAGTTTTTTCACGCCGTTTTTTAATTTAGCCTGTGAGTGTATCCGTTTCATGTCATCTATGTTACCGATCATGGAAGTACCTATATATTTTGCACTGCATATATCATGCAATATCTACCACTGGCGTGCAGACACGCAGGTCAAATGAAGCCCTCCATGTCGCCGTCCGTTGCGCGTCTGTTTACATTGTGTCGGCTCGGTGTGTCTGCCGGGCGGGCCCCTAACGCACGCCGGCGGGCGGACTGGCCGCGGCGGACCGGTGCCATTATGCAGCTCGGCGCGCCTGCAGTACGGCTCGTGTTGCAGGGGGCGCGCGCCGCGCCGCCGCGCGCCGCCAGTGGGTGCCGGTTGGTAGTGGCGAGAGCAGTGCGCCGGCGCGCGGTGCACTCCTGTCGACGTCGACGGGCCGACGGAGAGGTGGAGGACGAGCCGACACCCTGGAGCGGGAGCAGTGCGCCGGGCGCGGCGACGGAACGGCCGCCGCAGGTGAGGCCGGGATCGGCCGACCCGGGGAGATGGGCGGGTGGGTCGGGTTCAGGGCTGGGGTTTGATCCTCATTGATTGTGCTCAAATTGCCCTATCAATGCCAGTAAAGCAGACTAGAGGTGAAACTAGAACCTGGATGGTTTACTTGGGTGGGGGAGGGGATATTGTACTTTTCAAAGGTCCTTGGACTCTTTTCCTGGAAAAATGCCTGTAAATCCAATTTGAGTGTCATAAACTGTCCTTATGCTGCTGTTTTATTCGACATTGAGGTTCCATACAAAACGAGGGCCCTGGTTAGTGCAATGTCACAGATCATGAACCGTAAATCATACCATAGGCGGCGGAACGGGGAGGGCACCGGGGCACCGTGCCCCCCTTTGATTTTGGCATTTTAACATTAGCCCTATGGGCGTTGCATGGAAATAATGGGACCAAAAGTCGGCAGTGCCCCCCCCCCCCTTAGTTGAAGGTGTTCCGCCGCTACTGAATCATATTCTAAAGAATAGTGTTTTAACTATTGACAACGGGCACCGTGCCCCCCTTTGATTTTGGCACTTTAACATCTATATTACTATTTGAGGAGGGTGCGTCTGTCCGTTACCGAGGTCCCGACTTGGTGGTGCTTTGCGTGGACTGCAGGCCAGACCGTTGCACCTAGCCCGGTGAAATTTGCACAACTCATAGATCAAGGATGCGCGACGTGCCTTTGAGGGGTCTCAGCTCGATCGGATTGATAGGGAGCGCGTGGCGCGTGCTCAAAAAGTGCAAATTCGCGTCATAGACTTTACATGTATAAATCGGCGTGCGAAATCGGGCGAAAACGGCTAATTTTGGCCGACACGGGTCCAGTTCCCGTGCAATATCTTGGTGACCAGGGGTCCGACCGGCACGGGGAAAACAGCATCGTGTAGATAATTGAACGGGCTATTGAATGGTGTGCAATGCAGAGGATAGCACGCGCCACGTGCACCGGAGAGGGCACTTTTATTTGAAAAAATGCGGTTTTTGAGGGATTTTGGAATTAATTTTATTTTTAGGTGACCGTTAAATGGAGCGAGTTGAATCAACGCCTATTTGCAAGAGAAAGGTACCGCCTCTCATATAAAAATTATGAAAAGCTGATTGATCCAAATCAAGGTGGTGCAAATCACAGGAGAAAATGGTGTTTGTCAATTTTGTGCCACTTTATCAATCACACGGGGTTTGCTGCATAACCTGATACCTTTGGCAATTGAATATGGTACCATTGGATAGAGCATTCAATTCTGTCTAATATTCACTCTTCATTTTTGCATGATTAGCAACAGTATCCTTAAAAATGTAAATGTTCCAAACCATTACATTGTCATTTTTAGCGAAATTCATCGATGGCCCTCAAAAGACTTCACGCCAGTTTTCGAATCATTCTAAAGTAGAACGCATGATAATACGACACGGGCACCTCGATGCGATGTATCTTTTTGTTTTCTTACAAAATGCTTGGCCGTCAAAAAGCAATCGAACGAAATGGATGCCAACCAAATCGACACAGACCAACCCAATACTCACGGGTCAAAAATAACCCTTCTTCGCGTTGCGGAGCACGCGGGTAACCCTAGTTAGCCCTATGGGCGTTGCATGGAAAGAATGAGACCAAAAGTCGGCAGCCCCCCCCCCCCCCTAGTTGAAGGTGTTCCGCCGCTACTGAATCATACTTGTGCATTGTTTTGCATTATATGGCGATTATCGTGACGCCGGTCCATTAGTGATGTCATATATCTGCGGACGCATCATGACGGTCTCGGCGCGTGCGTCGTTCTGGATGCTTGTCGATGCTGATGGGCTTTCGATAGAAGTCGCCTTGACGTGCGTGCAAGATGGTTTCATGTTATCGATTTTTGCTATTGAAATCGATTAGTTAATGTGTGTTAATTTTACATTAGCCGTTTTCATGACGGGCTATCCGGCGAATGCACCTAATTTGACCAAATCTGCACCTAATCTCTTTTACAGCACATATCTTCATTTTATGAATTTATTTCAGTGTTTTAATCGATGATACTCTCTGATAATATGACAAAGGAGGCATATAAGCAATTAGTGCAACCCTAGCTGATAGCTTCTAAGAGATACACTGAACCTAATTTGACCAAATCTGCACCTAATCTGTACCAAATGTGCACCAAATGTGTACCAGATGGCCGTCGTGAAAACGGCTATTAGATACCAAAGGGCCACCGTTTTGACCTTTGTTTCACTTCCTTTGCAATACAGTCCTCTTTCACTTTGCAACAACCTGTCTTTGATGAACGGCATCATAGCATTGAACAGGATGGAACAAAACCCACTTTGCATGCATTTCACTCAGGTTATTTATTATTGAGGTTGACCCACTGCATCTGCCATGTCTGTCACAATGTAGTATATAAAGCAATGCACAGATAATATGATGTGCCATTTGTTATGGCTTTTGATGTAGGTAGATAAAATGATAAAAGCGTTCAGTGGTTTTCAGTAAGCTTCCTATAATTTGCGTCCAGCGGTCGTTGCATAACACACGTTTGCTTCAATCTCGTTTTCTATTTTCTACCGCGATACTGCTCGCAACGAGAGTTTATTGCATTACGATCGTAAACATCTGCACCAGGCATAACTGCAACGGACAGTAAACACCAAACAAACAGTAATCCTTTCTATCGTTGTGGATTAACGATAACAGCACAAAAAGCTCCGAGCACCGGCCTGCAAGCTGAGCTCAACAAGGTATTATTCGGCTGGTCAGAGCTGACAGCATCCTGCTCAGCAGACTGCACGGGCCCGTTCAGACCACCGGCCGTGGTCACGAGAGTCTGAGACGTTCGTGGTCGTTCCGTCAGCGTTCCAGGAACGGAACGGGCTCCGGGACCGGCCTAAACGCCGCCTTACCTGCTTAGCTAACCGGGCGAGGCTGGGCGAGGTGCAGAGACTTTCGGATGCTCAGGAATCCGCCCAGCCTCACGCTTAAATGCGGTGATCAGAGAAGCACGGTGCCATGACCCGGTTCTTTTGTTGATATAAGTAAAACTTGGGCCATTAATTGAACGTTGTTGAAGGCATTTTCACATATCCCGGCATTCTGATAATTTTTGCAAATTATACTTTGATTCATCGCTCCTTTCTTAAATATGTGCTTCTTTTCGTTTTCTTATTGTCCTGGAATGTTTTATGGGTCCACATAAACTGCCGCAGCAGGGAAACACGATGTCTCGGAGGTATCCCGAGACTTCCCTGCATTATCTGCAGCTAACTACTTATGACGCTGTATGAATTATGGCCGCAAACTTGACTCGGCGACAGATTTTATCGCCGTTTATAGCTGTCTGGTGTGATGCACTTTCCGCCGTCAGCCGGCGCTAAACTACTTCTCCCTGCTGGATCCGAAGGGAGGTATGCCTGTGAAACGTGTCAGACACTTTTGCAGCAACATAACTGCAAACGAGGTCTGATGTATTTCGATTGCATAGCCCGTGACAGATATTAGCATTATTGTTTGATCATAACTGATCTAGCTAGAGATCGGGAAAACTTCTGCACAACAGAGGCATGCTTGACGTCACTAGGTTAACCCAAAGACACGCCACAGCAGCCTTTGCATTGGAGAGAACCATATGTAAAACGCATGCGATTATGTAGATAACAACTTCTTCCATTCAGTTGCATCAGTTCGGCTGATCTCACAGCATGCTTCCAGGCGTATTCCAAACAACATCGCAGACTCACTCTCTCAGCGTTGCATTGTTGAAAAGCTTGAGCAGTTGAAGTTCTCTGCTGTGCCGTTTACACAGTTGACGAATGCGACCCGTAAAAGGTGTCACCGAAAGAGAAGCTATTATCGTATTGAAACGCGAAACTGAATCTGATAGCAGCCCCGGGTTCAGATTATGGGGCTTGTTTGATCCTTGAGGTGTCTTTCCCTGTCTTCCCGTTATTCACTGTGAGAGATGTCTGGCTGCCGCATCGTCATGTAATGGAAGTAGTGCTGAAGGCGGGTATAAGCAGAATATTTAAAGTTCATGTGTATCATTCGCTCGGCGGTAACGAAGAACGGGCTCCAACCCCTCCCAACGGTTTTCACCACCCATCTCTCATGCGCACTTCTGAATCACTGAAGCATCTCTTATCAATTCGCCACGGGGCGGGGCGGGGACATGAAGAGCAGACCAGCGAACTTCGCCACTAGAACCTCACCACATGCATTCTCCGGAAAAGGCACCGCCGGAATCTGACGCACGAGGGCAGTTTACGGTCACGGTGCAGTGTTGCAAAAGCGGATTTGTCCGGATTGGCAACTGATGCGCAGAGGGCCTTGCAAGGTTGCCGGTGGCTAGAGGATGCAATGGTCATATGTCTGGTATTTACGGTCGGTTCACTGGCCGTTCACCTATAGTGTCACGTAGTAGACGTGACGATGACACAGGTAATGTGGCGCCGCTGTGACATGGGCTCTGTGGTGGAATGGACTGGGGTGAAGTCGTTTAGAGTTGGTTCGACCGGTTTAAAACGACGCTCGAGCTCATTATTGGTTAACACTTGGTTGTGATTCGAAATGGGAAACTGGATGCGGTGATCCGCTTTCTTAGCCCGTGTTTCTCCAACCTGTTTAAGTGTTTATCTCCTCTCTCGTCCCTGATGCAGCGGCGTCACCACCCGGACCTTGTCCGTCCATTGACCGCGGCTCGAACCGGCACGCACACTGCACCCTGCACAGTGCCGTCATCGCGCGCTGGGTGGCCGACCGGTCAAACGTGGCTCTCCGCCGGCCGGTTCCTCCATAAACCTTGAGTCATGTTTATACACAGCGGTGGCGGCGCCGCGCGCGGGCGGCTCCATACGCATCCTGCATGCCAACTCCCCCCCCCCCCGTGCCGCCGTGCTGACGCCGGTCATGCTCAGGGGGGGGGGGGGGCTGACGACACTGTGAGGCACGCTGGCCAGGAGCTGTGAGGCTCACCGTCGGCGCCGGAGTGTCCCTCGGACACCGG